AATTTTTGTGGCGCGCAAACAATCACTACTTCATTTCTAATCACAACATTACATATCACGGAGGGGACGACTCGAGTCAGGAGACGGGACATTTGCATATCACATGGGATCGAAGGCCAACCGGGCAAGGCAAAGGGGTTTAGCTGTCAGCTTCGTTTCCTTGCTGTTAACCAAAGTTGTTCCTTTCGCAACAACTTTGGTTTTCATTTTCAGCTTAACTGTTTTGGATTAACTTCAAATTTTTGTTTTTCATTATAATTTTCTGTAATGGATATGTTCAGGATGGGATAATCGTGCATCGTTAGGATCAACGAAAACATCAACAACCATTCCGACAATTTGGGATTTGATTTCGGATCAACAGCGCTCAGCGCTTGAGCTTAGTTGGACGCAGACACCGGATTCCATAAATGCCGGAGTAATGCCAGCGCCTACACAGCAAATTGTTGGGCAACTACGTCAAGCAGTTACCAAAGGTATACAACTATGTTCGATGGACAGCTTTGTACTGTTTTTTTACAGATATCTGTTCCATTCTGATCGAAGAGCCTCAATTCTAAATTAATATTTTGGTTGCACGGCTGCGTAAAATGGCAGGGCAACAGTTCTGTGCTGTATTTTGTTTGCTTTTGAATGGTCGTTTTCCGAAAAATATTGAAAAACATTGAAAAAATGTGGTGGCGGCCGAAATTCTTGGCTTTCGATTTGAATTTCACAGGGAAATTAGTCTTGATAATACCATAGATCCGTAGGGGATTAAACATCTTATGCAGCTGAAACCTATTAGAAGTGCGCAATTTTGGATCGAAGGACCTGGCACAGCTACATCCGACATACGAGAGCACTCCAGCAACATCACTGACGTGAGATTCCCACACCGGTAGCTCAGGCGGTCTAGGTGTTCTTGATATAAAGTAAGGGCAGTATAGCGTGACAAAGTCAAAAATTTATTTTAAACGAGCCATGGACCCTTGAAATAGTAGAATGGAAGGATTGATCTTAAGTGTCATGTGCCGAAGGACATTTTACTATGTGGTAAGCCTGTGTTTCATCCCTTAGCTGTAAACACAGACCGAGCAATGTGTGCGCGTAGGAGCGGGAATCATTAGTACAGCCTTCTACCCGCCATGTTCTGAACAGTCATGTGACTAATTTGCAGAACAAAAAAACTGTGGTCGATTAGGCATGTCTACAGAAACTGTACATAGTAATAGTGTGAATTTTGCTTTA